CTGGGATAAATCATTTGTTTTAAACTTTATAAATTCTAACTGATAACTAATTAAAAAACTCATTTTATTTTTTGTGAATGTTATTTCTAGAAATGCTATTATCTTGGCTTAAAGTCGATTGAGACAGCTAATTCTCGAAGATCGTCATGTGACGTATCGAGAGATGGAGGCTTCATTAGGCATCTCGGGGAAAACCATTCAGAAGATCTTGCATGGAGCTCTTGATGTGAGAAAGCTAGTTTGCCGTTGGATACCGCATCTGCTTTCCGACGATCACAAGGCGGCGTCAGATGGTGTAAGAAAACTCTGCAAAGATTCAACCGAGGAGAGTCAAATTACGTCTACGACATCATCAGTGGTGACGAATCTTGGATCTATGCCTACGACCCTGATTCCAAACAACAATCTACAATCTGGGTCTTTCAAGACGAGCCAACGCCGACTAAAGTTGTTCGTTCTCGAAGCACTTCAAAGAAGATGCTGACCACGTTCGTTGGAAAAACCGGCCATGTTGCGACTATTGCACTTGAAGATCGTAGAACGGTTAACGCAGAGTGGTATACCACAGTTTGTTTACCACAAGTCATCACCGAACTTCGAAAATCTAACACAAAGCGACGCATCATTCTGCACCACGACAACGCAAGCTCACACAGCGCTCGTCAAACGATTGAGTATTTGAAGCAGGGAAAAGTAGAAATTCTTGACCATCCTCCATGCAGTCCTGACCTAAGCCCTAACGATTTCTTTACATTACCTAACATTAAGAAAAGTCTTCGTGATCAAAGGTTCCAGTCCGGTGAAGAAGCAGTCGACGCTTTGAAGTCAGCCATTTTGAACACCCCCACTTTAGAGTGGAATAAATGTTATAATAACTGGTTTGAGCGAATGGAAAAGTGTATTAAGCTACGTTGTGAATACTTTGAAAAACAATAAAAAGTACTATAAGGTTCTAGTTGTGTTTTTTTCTTCAAACGACAAAACTTAAAAGGCATGCCTCGTATCGGTGAGTTTGTCGATCGTTTCTATTTCTGTGATGCATCCCGTAATGTTTAGTAGTTTAACGACGGGCTTCGTCATATTTCTTTGGATGCGCCTCATTTGTGACCTATTGTCCCGTGGATCTTGGAGTTCATCAAGAAAGCCTTTTTAGAAGTATTCTTTCAGGGCTTTTTTAGCCTCTCTATTGCGTTTTCGCGTGGAAGTCCGGGGCTGCAATGTCTCGCTTGCCATAATATTTGTTTTAGTTTGTTTCGACAGTCTATCTTATCGTTTATTTCCTTCGGTAGTCGTTCCTGTCGTGTTGAATTTTTCAGAGGTGCGTAAGTGTCGAGAGCTGCAACAACGGTTTTTTCCAATGTTTCAACATACTTCTCGCAATCGGCTTCTGTTGTGATTTCTTTGTTAAGGTTGCAGAGACCTTCTTGTCTGTTGGTATGCCGCTCTTAGTTTCTCTTTCTCATAAATTTTCTTTATGTTACGGCTACGGGAGGTCACCACAACCGACTCACCCTGGCTACGTACAACGGACGCACGCTACGGCTAGACTCGCATCTGGCGCAACTTGAGGTGGAACTTGGGAAGATTAGGTGGATATGCCACCTAATCTTCCCAAGTTCCACCTCAAGTGCTATGTGAAGTCCGAAGAGAGGGGGAGGACACCATAACCCTCGAGTCAGGCCATCTAATGTACTTCAGCGAGGGAGACCAACAATCCCAAGGTGGGGTTGGGTTTCTGGTAAATAAGTCCCTATTTGACAACGTTGTGGAAATTTCCAGTGTGTCGAACGGGTAGCGTACCTTATTATCAAGCTCACCGAGAGTTATAGCCTCAAGGTTGTGCAAGTGTACGCACCGACCTCGGCACACTCGGACGACGAGGTGGAGGATATGTACGATGACATATCGAGGGCCCTCCACTTCACAACTAAGACCCACTACAACGTTGTTATGGGTGACTTCAATGCTAAAGTGGGAGTACAGAATTGCGGCGAATCGGTAGTAGGATCCCATGGATTTGGAAGCAGGAATCATAGGGGGCAAATGCTGGTCAACTTCCTCGAACGGGAGGGGCTCTTTTTGATGAACTCTTTCTTCAAGATACAGCCCCAAAGGAAGTGGACGTGGCAAAGCCCCAACGCTATGACCAGAAATGAGATCGATTTCATCATGACGGATAGAAAGCACATATTCAGAGACGTCTCAGTGATCAATAGGTTTAATACCGGTAGTGATCACCGACTTGTCCGGGGCTCTCTGAATATCAACTTTAAGGCGGAACGTGTCTGTTTGATGAAATCCAGGCTCCGACCAACTCGGCTCCAAGCCATGACAGGACCTGAAACGTTCCAGTCAAAACTGGAAAACCGATTCGCTGCCGTGGAAACCACAATCGACGTAAACCAGAACCTCAAAAATGTGGTTCGGATCCTCAGGGAAGAAGGAGAGATGAGATTTTGTGAGATGCAGCGTAAGGGCAGGAAGTCGAAGCTTTCAGAAAAGACCGTAGGGCTGAAGAAGAAACGATGTGAAAACCCACCTGTCACTTTGTCGGCAAAGCGGACTCTAAACCGAGAGATCAGTAAACTCGTACGACACGACCTCCGGTGCTCCAATACTCTTTTAATTGAAAGAGCGATCGAGCAAAATCGGGGGTCAAAAGTGTTCATACAATCTCTTGGAAGAAGCCACCTGACAAAGTTGACTACAGAAAGTGGAGAAGTCGTTGCTTCGAAGCCGGCAGTCCTTTTGGAAGTGGAAAGCTTCTATGGCCGGTTATACGCTTCGCATGCATCTCGACCTGATCCCGAAAATGAGGACTCTAGAGCCACATAAACACGTCACTACACCGAAGACCTGCCAGAAGTTAGCATTGACGAAATCGAGATGGCTCTTGGACAGCTGAAATATGGAAAAGCCCCTGGAGAGGATGGCGTTACAACAGAGCTGCTGAAGACCGGGGGTAAACCCGTACTAAGGGAGCTCCAAAAGCTCTTCAACGCTGTCTTGTTTGAAGGGAGAACTCCGGAAGCGTGGAGTAGGAGTGTGGTCGTCTTGTTCTTCAAAAAGGGTAACAAGACCAGGTTGAAGAACTATCGACCCATATCCCTTCTAAGCCACGTCTACAAGCTGTTTTCGAGAGTTATCACGAACCGTCTTGCTCAAAGAATCCCAACCACCGGAGCTAGCTGGGTTTCGGAGCGGACCTACAGCCAATGCTGAATGACTTAGCTGACACTTCTGTACGCATCGGTAACTTACTTATTTACTAACAAACTTGTATAAAACCAAGGTCATGTTCAACGAACATGTACTACCGGAACCGATTGCGGTACACGGTGCCGTTCTCGAAGTTGTTCAAAATTATGTGTACCTCGGGCAGACATTGCAGTTAGGTAGAAACAACTTCGAGGACGAGGTGAACAGAAGAATTCGGTTGGGTTGGGCAGCATTTGGGAAGCTACGTTGAGTCTTCTCATCGTCGATCCAACAGTGACTTAAGACGAAAGTCTTTAATGAGTGCGTCCTACTCGTCATGACATACGGAGCTGAAACGTGGACACTTACAGTACGGCTGGTCCACAATTTTAAAGTCGCTCAACGTGCTATGGAAAGAGCTATGCTCGGCGTTTCTCTAAGGGATGGCATCAGAAATGAGGTGATCCGGCAAAGAACCAAGGTCACCGACATAGCGTACCGGATCAGCAAGCTGAAGTGGCAGTGGGCTGGCCTTATTAGCCGCAGAACCGATAACCGTTGGGGAAAACGAGTTCTTGAGTGGAGACCGCGTCTCGGCAAACGTAGTGTAGGACGCCCACAGGCCAGGTGGAGTGACGATTTGCGCAAGATGGCTGGCAGGAGCTGGATGCGAGAAGCCCAAAATCGATCTAAGTGGCGTGCAATGGGAGAGGCCTATGTCCAGCAGTGGACTGCGATAGGCTGATGATGATGATCATCAAGGTGATGTGACCTTAGGATAATAGTAACTTTTACGCAGAAGGCGGTGAAAAAATGTCCATACATCAATTATTTATTTATTATTTTTATGCATTTAACACTTCACTTTTATTGATTTGAAAAAAAAAACTATTTCAATAGTATGTTTTTCGGATTAATAATATTTCTTAACTTGTTACAGATGCAAAAGAATATAAGCCAAAAGCAATTCTATTAGGAGGTCATAACACAGGATTGCCAATGTGTGACTGTCCATGCAAGATGAAAGCAGTAGCTTTTAGGTACCTTATAAATGAAATACCAGAAGAAAATTAAGAGTGCTTTTGGAAAGAGGTTTTAGAGATAATTAAAAAACATTCAGAATATATTTTTTTTATTTGTCGAAAATAGAGTTGCTACGCAAGAACAAAATGTCATCAATTATTTGGTCTTTCATAGAAAATCTATAATTAGAAACAATAAACCTTAAAGATGAAAATAATCTTTCCACGCTTACTTGAGTCATTGGTGTTGCAAGAACTATTGTGGATAATTTATACAGAAATGGAAATTTTAGTTTTGAATTTTCCCGGTATGACGAAATAAGGTCTGTTGATTTTAGCAATGGTTCTTCAAGAAATAAATTATAACTCTGCTGTAACTTATTAATCAATTTACCACATGGATCGTCTCTTCTTATTAAGCGAGTCAGATTAGTCAGTCTGTTTATGTAGCTTGAATTTAGAAAATCGTCTAGTTCAGCTCTAGCTTCAGAACTTTCGTTTTTTCCAACATTTGTCTCCACCAAACTATTTTCAGTATCTTTCTGTTGTACTTTAAAATATCTAAAAAATAATTTAATTAAATTGTCTTTTGCTCGCCTTTGTTGATCTGGCGTCAAAATGGAATTGACACGGGGATCCAGAAAAATTGCGTTTATAAAGGTGTCACTAACAAATAATAAGTTTTCTCGCTCTTTCATTTTTGTTATTATGTGAGTAGACATTTCGGTATTCATTTTAGCAACCTTATATTGACATAACAACCACTCCAGATAAAAATCACTAAGTTAATTGCTCTTCTTGCAGTTTCTTTGTTCGTACTTTAGCAGGTGTCATACATTTAACATAATCTTCTAAAGCGCTCCAAGTAGCCGATGGCAGGTGTAAACGTTCATGTGTTGTACATATTTCTCTTAGTGATATTAAAAATTGAGCCATATCAACTGTAGAATGCCATCTAGTGGTACAATCTAATTTTGGAATGAGTTTGTCTTGCTGTCGTATTATTCTTGCAAGTTGTGGAGTTCTTAAACGTCGTACCACCTCTCTAGATTCTAAAAGTAGTGTACGAGTATTAACATTATTTGATGCATCTAGCAATGCTAACTGAAGAGTATGTGCAGCACATCGTACAAGGCCGATGGAATATGCCGCTTCATCATGTGACCCAACTTTCATATTCTGGGATTGTGCTCCAAGATTTTCTGTTAATCGAGTTGTAATTCTTTCGATTTTACTGCCTTTCATTTCCATATCCCGATGAGATCTGAATCAGAACCCGAATCTTCCACATAGAAACTCATGGTTTGAGATGAGCTTGAGTCTGAAATGTAACGAAATCAATAAGCACACAATACGTGAGCATCACTTGTCAAGAGCATTAACAACAGAGTTAAAGTTTGTGATGTTGCCTTAGATTTATTTTTTATTAGGTCCAACTTTCTTTTAGTTTTAGTCTTTTATTATTAATAACTAGAAATATAACTTGACGGTACTGGTATTAATAGAATATACGTAATATAAATTAACATTTTAACCCTATAGACCTAACTTGATTTTGCTGTATCGGTTGTTATATCAGCTGAATTAGCTTCATTGATTAATTTAGTCATCTTTATCATATTGGCACCGTTGTCAGTGGTAATGCTGTAAAATTGTTGTGTATCTATACGGAATCTTTAAAGAATAAACAAAAGCAAATCTTTTAGATGATTTGACGTATGTCGCTGGAAAATTTCTATCACTGACAATTTTTTTTAAATGATATGACCATCTTCATAACATATGGGACTAATCCCACCCACACGCCCACCACTAACTCCTGTACACCAGGATCCACAGCAGTGACCCACGAACACACCGAGTTATGACACTCGGGAAGTCCCAGGAAGAAATTAAATTGTCTTGGAACCCGCAACGAAATTAATCAGAAGAAAATTGGAGGAGTTGGAAATACAGTAAATCCACTTCCCTGATTAGCAAAGCGGCAGACAAAATGAAGTAAAATGGGCATACACCCTTTCAAACAGGGAAGTACCACGGCCACAAAATATTACGGGTCCTACGTGAGCTATATTTGATTTCTATAATATGTATGGCAGAATCGCCTAAACACACGGAAATTCACCCTAGTTGACACAAGATCCCCATAGTATACCGCCCCAGATGTCACCTGCAAGCTATTCAGCATTATATTATACCAAAGACTACATTCCCAGAGGATATGATGAGCAGACTGTTCATAGTGAGAGTTAGGTGTTGAGGATTGACACAATGGTGACTAGACTAATTTAAATGAATAAAGCTTGCCCTTAA